ACTTATGAAGGAGCCAATGTGAGTAAACCGTGAACAAAAAGATAACTGCTGAGGTGGGCTTTAGCATTGATCTATGTCACAAAGCTGTGAAAAGCCTCGGGAATTCAAAGCATCACACCCATGCTGGACGGTGCGTTTCTAACTTTATTCATTGTTTAATGTTGTAAGCCATGTGCCCCCAGAATGCTTCCCGACCAGGTCCTGGCAACAAAGGAGCACTGTATATGTACGCTGAAAAGGCTGCTTCTTCCTTTTGGGCACTGACTGTGGCTGTGGTCTCTGCCTGCAAATAACAAGATGTTAGTCTCTTAGAAAAGCAACAAAAAAAAAAAAAAAAAAAAAATTGTCCTTCCTCAGTGTCTATAGGTACGAGCATCAAGTTTTGCTCAGACTCAGGTCGGGCTGCAGCCTGACAGTTGTCAATGCAAAGAAAAAGATGTCTGTCCTCATACTGCTGTGGTAATGACCTCTTGTGCCACGTGCTTGCCTGGACCTGCTAGGAGGTGACACAGCTGGATGAAGGAAGGCCACAAGCAATTCCTAGGCACTGGCCATGCCACAGCTGGTCGGGATGTCCCACTGCACAGGGCTGTCACTTCTCATGTGCCCAGTACCTAAAGGAGATGGCTGCATCCCCATCTGGGAGCTGAGAGAGGATGGACTTGCTGCATGGCCCCCCACACACAGCCCCGTGCCTGCTGTGTGAGCCTCTTCGGGACATCTGGGGGCCCAGCCTTCTAGTTCATTGGGACATCTCATTAACTATCAGATACACACATTTGTATCCAATTGAGCAAATCACGTACACAGATTGGGCAAAAATACAATGGCTTTGCTTTGTTACTTTCCCCTCCCTGGGAACCGTGCTTCCCCTACACAAAGGAGCCTTCCTCAGAGAGCCTCTCCGTGTGCCTGGGACCTGCCAAGGGGAAGAGGTGAGACCAGAGAGGGAGGGCAGAGACAGTGTCATAATCAGGCTCTCCACTTTATTTTAGAAACATCGTGCAGAGATGGTGACCTCCTGTCACCTTCCTTGTGGGAAAAGTTAGAATGAAGTGTCAAGCTCAGCTATTTATATCGCTGCTGATTGTCTTGCCTGTCTTCTAAAGAGGGAAAATTTTCTTCCTAAAAAATCCAGGGGAAATAAACTCATATGAAGAGGATTGCACAGGAACAGCCCTCCTGTCTTTTTGGAGTGAATTTCCTAGCTGTTCCCCAAAGCCCTGGCTGGTCCATCCAGAACAAGTGCACCGGCCGGAGCAAGTGGCAGCAATGCAAAATGCTTGCCGGTCATTCAGAGCATGCAACATCCAGAAGAGGATGGACAAAACTGCTCTGAGAGTGATGGACACTTCCCCTCCTGAAGAAAAAAGCAACACAAAAAAAGGATGGCAGAGAGCAGCCTGTGACTGGCGAGCCAGCCTGGTGTACTGGCAGGGGGCAGCCCCCATCCCCGCTGGGGTATTTTTATCATGGAATTCGGCAGTCACAAGGCAGCCCAGAGCTGGGCGGACTCCACGCCTGGCCTGTCGTGTGACATTCAGTTTTCCCCAGCTTTAATAGCATTCCAGGTGATGATTAAGCCAGGACGGCCACGTCACTGGGTTTGTGCCAGGCTGCACTGGTCTTTGTCACATACACGTTTCCCGGTGCCCGAGATCCCATGACTACGCAGAGCTCCTTTGTTGATCCAGCAGAAAGCTGACAGCCAAAAGCACAGCTGGGCAGTGGCACAGCCCACAGCTCTGCATGAATATGCATTACTCTGCTGTCAAGACAGCCTGCTATCAGGTGCTGAGACCCCACAAAGATACCCAGAGGTGTTTTTCACCGAGTCACACCAAACTGAGACAAGATTTGTCCAACTGAGTCCAAACTAGGAATATAAAAGGCCGCAAATGCTCACACGCTGAGAAGTCAAAGCATACAGGGACAGAACTAGTCTAGGAATGAGGAAAGGGAACGATATGGAAAATTCCCAAGAATAGTAAAGCCCTGAGGAGAAAGGCTAGGTCAGAGGCAGTCCTGCATAGCCATGAAAAGCTGTCAGGGGGTGACAACAATCCTTCTTTGCTTGCTGGCAGCAGAGAGCTACATGTTCTCTCTTCTGTTCTAGGAGGCCCTTGGACTGGCCACCTACCCTCTTGCACCAGCCACCTGACTCTCTGTGGGGCTGTAGCAGGATGATCAGGAGGCATTCAGCTCTTTGGGCAGCCCCTCTGTTAAACAGCCTGTGCAGAAGGAGAAGCCAGCAGGAAGAGCAGAGGGAACGTCCCTAATATCTAGCCTAAGCCTCATGACTGCCAGCCTTGGATCCTTCTGATTTACCGCCTTTTGGAAAATATTGTGCACATGTGAGGCAAGTAAATTACTGTTATTCTCCCATCCATTAACATGTTTTATTTCTGGACTCCTCTTGCACTTATGTTTGCCAACTTCGTGTTCTGTACACATTGATTTTACAATTTGCAAGTATCTGGGTGACCCTTCCCTGGGGAAAACAAGCCATAGTAAAACCCCAAACTACCTGCACATAGTAGAACTGATGGGAAGACATTCTCAGCCTGTGATTGCACATACATATGGCAGGAAGGAAAACTCACGCTTGGCACAGACAGGGAGAACTGTGTTAATTTTTACCCCAACAAGCAAGGTGAATCAAGAAAAGACAGCTGTCAACTAGCAACAGCAGGAGCAACAGGGGCACCTGCAAACAACACAAACTCACCTAGAAAAATTAGGATACACACCATTGTTCATGCTGTCTTGGAAGGAATATTCCACACATACAGTTGTGCTATGCCATATTGTCTTGGATACACCTGTACAGTGAACTGTAGGTAGCCGATTGCCATGTCTGCATTCTGGGGGGTGGAGGGAGAAATCTTTATTTCAGTGCAACTGTCTAAGTATTTCTCATCACTGATTTATCTGCCTGCATGTAATACCATGGTGCCCACAGAATAAAGCCATATGCTAATTTCTCCAGAATGCATAACTGCACCAAAGCCATTTCAGAAGACAAGACAGACCCACAGATTCACCAGTTTTTACTGCTGCAGACAAAGAGGAGTCAGAAAGACTAGCTGATTTTCTGTGCCCCATTTCTGGGCTGGCAGCAGATGAAAGCTTCAGCATACTCTGAGCAGTCACCAGGATCTACATCAGCATGGTTGCAGCATGCCTGCCAAAGCAAGAAAGAGACAAAGCCCATCCTTTACTTCCGAGTATGCCCATTCTCCCTCTTCACATAGCTTCCAATTGGCTGTGGGACAGAAAGTGGTTACCTCCCTGTCTCCTTTCCTGGGCAGTCCTCACCTTTCCTCAGGGCAGCCCTCAGCAGCACCAGGAGTTTAAGGATTCAGCTGCTGGTTTTTGTCCCGTCCATCCCTGCAGATGGACACCAAGCATAAACAAGCAATGGCATAAATCATCGTGTGCACTGCTACATTAAATTGTATCACGTACGTAACCAAAGGAGGGGACATTATTCCCTCAACAAGCATCTCTCTCTGTTCTCCAGCTTTAGCCACAGGAAATCTACACAATATTGCTGCAGTAAATTCTCAGCATTTAACAGTGCCTACTCTCCACAGACATTCTTTGTACAGTAAAAATAATTGGCTCTTAAAGACAAGACAAGGGACAATAAAGAAGGAGAGTTAACACTTTTGGTCCCTACGGCTTTGGGATTTACCTTCTCTAGTGCTTTTAATATTTCATTACAATTATTATTAAATTTTTCATTTATTTATTAAAAGGATATTTTCAAAAAGAGTGACTGTGGGAGAACATTACCTCCAAGGTAATGCTGCACACTTTATAGCACCTAGCCCTTAACTCATGCACAAGGGAGAGCTTTGCAGTGCCCTGGGAAGGTAAGCATGGTGAGTATAACTGGATCAAATGATTGCTCAACCATTCCCACAGAGCCCCACAAAAGGTGGATTAAACCCATCATTCTCTTTTTATTCACAGGGTTAAGTGACTTGGCCAGAAACAGTCTGTCAGAGTCAGAAGCAAAACTGAAGCAGGCTCTCCTACATCCTCACGTTGCCATCATACTATCAGCCCACCAAACCTTTACTCTCATGAGATCTCTACCAAACAGCAGTTCCCAGGAGCTGATGGTCCTTGGGAGGCATTTCAAAGGAGGCTTTTTTCGTTGCCTGTGTCATTTGAACTGTGAATTTTGTCTCAGAGCTTAAAAAAAAAGAGGAGGGAGCATGTTCCACCATTTAGATTTTGCAGCAGTTCCCTCTCAGAGAGGCATGGCAGGGTGGCAGCAGACAAGGTTTACAGGACTGACACAGCTCATTGAAGTCTTTATGCTCCCCAAAACATTTACAGCTTGTAAATGAAACGCTTGAAACTGGCAACACTGCAAAACCAAAGCAAAACCTATGGGCAAGCAGCAGGTGGGCAACAGGAAGCTTTTTCTCTGAAGTTCTTTCAGTGGTGGCATCAAGCTCACAAATGAAGCCCAGGGCTGCAAGCACTTCACATTCCAGGTATCAGTGTGGGTATTACACAAAGGCAACGTGTGAAAGTGCCAAGGCACTGCTCAGACCAAGCTGTAGACTCTAGTCTTATCTCCCAGGGGATCAGCCCGTTAAGTACTCCCCAGAGCACTGTTTGCAGACAGATGAATACTGCTTTAGCTACACAGTCCAAAGAGGATGCAATATGCAGTGAAAGAACTTTCTGAACCAAGAAAAAATCTGGCTCGTCCTCAAAGTTTTGGCAGCCCATTTAACAGGTTGCAGTTGGATTATGCAAAAAAGATCACTTTCTGTTTCAGTAGCTGAATAAAAAAAGAAACCCAAACACACTGTTTTCAGTGCATCTGAAACAAAGTTTTCTGCAAACCAGACCACATTCATTTCATGTCAAATTAAAACATTTCCTTTGACACAAAACAAATAATTTCATTCTATGTATTTACAATTGTGTGTTTCCTAGCCCTCCTTAGAACCACTCTCTTCTGTTTTCTCCCACAGAGTCTGTGTCCAATTGTCCGTTCAAGACTTCTTACCCCTCCTGGTGAGCAGAAATGGGAGACTGGAGTTTCCTGGGAGAGTTCCTCGAGGAGGTCCACAAACACTCCACAGTGGTGGGGAAAGTCTGGCTGACTGTGCTCTTCATCTTCCGCATGCTGGTGCTGGGTACAGCAGCTGAGTCCTCCTGGGGGGACGAGCAGTCTGACTTCATGTGCGACACCCAACAACCTGGCTGCGAGAACGTCTGCTATGACAAGGCTTTCCCCATCTCCCATGTTCGGTTTTGGGTCCTCCAGATCATCTTTGTCTCCACCCCATCTCTGGTGTATATGGGTCATGCAATGCACACGGTGCGCATGGAGGAGAAGAGGAAAATGAAGGAGGCAGAAATAGAAGCCCAGGAGATGAAAAACAATGGTGACACATACTACCAGCAGAAGTGCCCTGTGGCAGAGAAGGCCGAGCTGTCTTGCTGGGATGAATCGGGAGGCAAAATCATACTCAGAGGCAGTCTGCTGAACACCTACGTCTACAGCATTTTGATTCGCACTGCTATGGAAGTGGCCTTCATTGTGGGACAGTACGTCTTGTATGGGATCTTCCTGGAGACCCTATATGTCTGTCAGCGAGCACCTTGCCCCCACCCCGTCAACTGTTATGTTTCCCGTCCCACAGAGAAGAACGTGTTCATTGTCTTCATGCTGGCTGTGGCAGTGCTCTCCCTGTTCCTCAGTCTGGCTGAGCTGTACCACTTGGGCTGGAAGAAAGCCAAAGAGAGGTGCTCCCGGTCTTACAAACCCAGCCCCAGCACAGCTCCTGGCAGGTTGGAGTCTGCCCCACAAGTAGAAAGGGCTCAGATGTACACTCCTCCACCAGATTTTAACCAGTGCTTGTCAAGTCCCAGTGGAAAGTTCATCAGCCCCTTCAGCAACAAGATGGCCTCCCAGCAGAACACTGCCAACTTTGCCACCGAGAGGGTCCATGGCCAGGAGGATGCTGCTGGTGAAGGACCCTTCATTAAGTCCACCTATGCTGAGAGTCCAGAGGTGGCCAACGAATGTGCGGCACCTGCCTTCCCCGAGAACTACTTCAATGAGAAACGCCGGTACAGCAAGACCAGCCGTGCCAGCAGCAAGGCAAGGTCAGACGATTTGTCTGTGTGACCTGTCTCCAGGAAGGATGAGGAGAAGGAGCAGTCTCAGTGTTTAGTAAAACTTCTGCAAAGTGGACTCCGGATTCTTGCCAGTAACCTTTGTCTATTTTAACACCCTCTTGCTCCTTTTCAGTGAACATCATTGTTATATTGCAGAAAGCACCTTCCACTGTTTAAGGCAGGGGCAACCACTGCGAGACACACACTGAAGAGAGGCACCAATCTGAAGATGTGAAGCTCTCAGACATATTTTCACTATGGGATCCACAGGGATTGGAGACTCACCATCCTTAGCCTGGTAGAGCAAAGGCCAGTGGACTCCTGAGGCTGCCCATCAGGTATCCACTGCGACACTGTATTCAACAGACTGACTGGACCTCAACCTCCTTCCATCTTCTTTGGTGTCTTTTCAATGTTTGCTTCATCAGCTTTGGCAATTATACTGAGCTGAAGCTTCTCTCACCTGTGGGGAGCAGAAACACACTGTTAGGCTTTCAGAAAAAAGACATTCTCATCTGCTTTGCTCCCGCTCTTTCTAACCCTCCCTTTCTCTACATGAGCCCAGATATTTTATAGCAGTTTACCTATACAATAAATCCTACTGAATTTTTTGACACTGTGTATATAACTCTTGCCCATAGATAAGGATATCCATGGTCCCCCCCACACAGCTGCCTCATGTCTAGTGTTGGAATCCCTTCCTCATTCCTAAATCAGCATGTGGCAGACTGGTCCTGGGGCCTGGGGATATCACTTAGATGACCAGTTGATGAAGACTGAGGAATTTTCCCAAGATACTTACATCATCAATTTTAAGCAAGACATCCATTAACAGAAATAGAGACTCTCCTGTGAGAACAAATACCCTACCAGGAAAAAAAGGAGGAATTACCATGTGGAATAAAGTGATTTTTCCCCTTTTTAAACTAATCTTTCAAGCAACATGAATGCTGCTGAAAGGGTGCTGCCAGCTGCCAACTTGAGAGAAAAAACATCCTCTGTTTATCTGCAGAAGAGGTACGGCCTGTGTCTTCTCTCACTAACCTACCAAAAGACTTCAGCATCTTTTGCAAGGAGCAAGAGTCTTCACCATGTCCTGCACATCATTCGGCTCCTGGCTGCTCTCTCAAGCCTGCCAGCCAGTGCAAACCAAGATATTTGTCCTCACCTCTTCTTCTCCACTCCCTCCCTAGTGCATATGGCATTAGAACCCACCCATGGACCAGCTCTTTCCACCACTGTCACCTCTCAGAGCAGCCATTGGGGCCCTGCACTGCACAGTGAGCCTGGTGGGTGAGGTCTGTAGGCAGCTCCCACTCCAGATACATTTTCTCACTGCAGAGCTGACATCCCTCTTTTAAAGAGAATTGCTAAACAGAGCTAAGCTGCTACCTGGTGTTTACCCTGCGCTTCCCTTTCAGACACAGGCCACAGCTTCCCAATGTTGGACTGTGCGAGCGAATGGCCTGGGACCAGCTTATGAGGGGACTGAGCAATTCCTTCTCTTCGGGGCCACTGAGAGGGATTGTGAATCCTTGCTCCTGGTACATAGCTTTGGTACAGTTCCCTGTACATATCCATACATACTCACTCACACAGGGTGGGGAGGGAGGAACCATTTTTTTGTTTGTAAGGTTTTTTTATATATGTGTATTTTTTAATCCTGAAAAGACCTGCGTGCTCTCCTAAACCTGAGATTTTAGTCAATCATGCCTAGGTTTCTCCTAATAAAGTTCTAACTCCATCTCTCCTTGTTGATGTTTTTCCCGTCACATGGCTGAGAATGAGCTGCTAGCATCAATCAGGCTGCCCGCCAGCCTCTGCTACTCAGAGATCACACAAATTCCCATTGCCCAGAGTGGCAGGGATGAGGGGAGGGCTCAGCCAGGGGGATAAATAAACATTGGGAAATGATTGATTGACTGGCTAACAGAAATCCCCTCCAGCTCCTCTGCCTGCCTCTGCATTACACCAGGGAAGACTGGGAAGAGCTAGCCAGAGAGCACAGCTTCCATCTCTTGTGATGGAAACAGCCCCTCCTGGCATCCCCTAGCACACCTCTGCATCTAGAGAGACCACCTGCAATGTGAGAAAAAAGCAGGAAAAGGGTAGCAAAACTTGTCCCCTGAGCATCTGAGTGCTTGTCAATGCAGTCACAGGGCCTTGAAAGGCTTTTTAAGAGGCGAGATTTTGAGAGACACTGAGAATCCACTGATAACCATCTCTGCAAAGAGTTCCTGTGGGTACTCAGCTCTCTTAAGATGTAGTTGCCCAGCCCATAGCATACTCTTTCTTCCCCCAGCTGATGCCTCTCCTCTGAACTTCACCCCTTGGTCCACTTTCTGACTTTCACAGGCTCCCTCCTTCCGACCCTGGATCCCCCTGTCCACCCAAAGGAAGTGCCCTTCCTTCCTTTCTCCACACAATCTCCAATCCCCTGGGACTCTGCAGGCTGGGAAACTGGAGAACAGTAAAGTACTGGGTCCCAGCAAGGAGCCTGAGAGGGGGCATAAAGAATGAAAATGGAATTTGATGGGGACATGAGAACAAAGACCTTTAACTGTGTTAGAAACTGCAGGGACCATTTAAGATCAAAGGAGCCTTAGTTTGGGGGTTTTCATCCCAGAAAGGAAGATGCCACCTGAGCACCCACAGCCAGCAAAGAGGCAGGATTGGTCCCACAGACCTGGATTTTTAACTGGTGTGTGCACACCCCTGTGTATGCCTGTCCCTTAGGGTGCTGCCTTGCTGGGAGAGATACACAATGAGTAAGTCATGAGCTTATTAAAGCATGTTCACAACAGATCGCTCCCTCTGGAAAACTTGGCTATTGAGTAATATTGCTGACTGCTGTTTCATAGGGCCACTCAAGCGCTAACCCAGGCCTTGTTTAATAAACTATTTATGGTTTATAATAAGCAATAGCCCAAACTTTAAATCCTTTGTGCTACAGGCACTCAGAAGGGTTGCATCGCTGCTGGAGAGCAAGGTATAGCCAAAAAATGATGATAAGGATCTCCTCTGTGCTGTTTCAGACCTCTACAACCCACACATATTCATAGGTGGTGTTTTGTTGGTTGTTGAGACCACAGGAGTATAACCATCCCAGCTCTCTGTCTCCCAGGCTAGAGAATCTATGCATCAAAGCAGATAATCTCTCTCTGCCACTCATTTCTTAGTGCCTCCCTGGTTCTGTCTTCTAGGTATAACAAGTGGGGAATACTTGATGGATGGATGTTTGCACTGGCTGACAGACCATAAACTTGTGATTCTTGGAATTCACTGTCAAGGCTGGCCAGGCTATCACACCATGACAGGAGCACATTTACTTCAGCCAGTGAGCAGAGATGCTGGCCTGCCATTTCAGACAGATTTTGTATTTACTGCTTTGTACCAGATGGATGGATGGACAATCTTACGGTTGGGACCTAAATCAACATTATATATTAAATTCAGCCTTGGATAGGCACCCAATCTTTAAACAGTAGCATTACAAAGACAGTGCTCCAAGAGGGAAAAAAGAAAATATGTGAGAACTTTTCATTCTGCTCTCGTCCCTCTTTTCTCCAGAGTCGTACCTGCTGGGGTCTGCTCAGCCTCTCAAAACTGAACTCTCCAGCGAGAGCTGGAACCGACATTTAACAGAAATACCATCCCCAGTTGTCTCCTTGGTCAGCACACCTCAAACCATTTCAGCATTGCCTCCTCTAGCTGGTGTCTGAAGGAGCCAGGAGCCAGTTCTGCTTTACAGCGTTGTGCTGATCAGCTGCCGAGCCCAAGATGGAAGAACAGGGAAACGTGTGTTTCACCAAGCTCTTAAAACAGAAATACTTTATACTATAAAAGGGAAAGCTATATTTAAAAATGCATAGAATGCCAAAACTAACAAAGTAATGAATTGAGAGAAGGTCAAGCCTGTAGTCCCTCTCCTTTCTCCAAACAGCACAGTGGGACAGCTGAGCAGGCCAAGAGACAAATGAGGGAAATACTTAAAAGCAATGGCTGATCTAGAGCACGTGGGTTGAGCAAGTTGTTTCCTCTTTCAGAATATGCAAGCAAGGCAACCCTCAAGCAAACTCAAAGCTGATAACATTTAAGACTTAAAAGCGAGCAGGAAAAAAGATGCCAGACCACACAATCTCCCCTCAATCACTTTTCTACAAAATATCACCAAGGCCAAAGAATTAAGAAGATCCATATCCGAAAGAATAAAAGCACTGTGTGTTCGTAGGATCAAGAATGTGCTTAACTGGACTGCAAACGGCCAAAGTATGAAGAATGCAGAAATTCACAATTCAAGAAGTCATTGTAGCGTAGCAGAGAGCCTGACCCACAGCAGCGGCAGGCACTGC